ACTTTCCATAGAACTGGAGTTAACTCCTACCTACACATAACAGATGTTAAAGACGTTGTTTATGAAAGTTCCTGGGCTTGACTATAAAACTTTCTCATTTTCTTCTGGAGTCAAATTGGTCTTTTCAATTATTTTCTCTTATGGGATAATTTTCTATAATAGGAAGTATAGATGCCTATTTCTGTTATATATATTGGAGCTAGAGCCTTATAGTAAGTAAATATGAATACATATGTTCATTCTTTCTGTTATCATCTTGGTGTTTATTTATTTCACAGGTTCCTTCTGTTTCTTTTTATCTGTAGTTGTGTATCTATGTGGATATCTTATTTGGACTTTCACACATTTCTAGCTTAGATAATGGATTATCTACTTCATTGGTTCTGTTTGTGCTTTTCCCACAGAACCCAGTTCTTGCATTTATTTTATATTTTTATATTGAATATTTTGGTTTTCATTTTTTTAAACCTTTTTTATACTCTTTTTTAAAAGACTTTATTTATTTATTTTTAGAGAGGGAAGGGAGGGAGAAAGAGAGAGAGAGAGAGAGAAACATCAATGTGTGGTTGCTGGGGGTCATGGCCTGCAACCCAGGCATGTGCCCTGACTGGGAATCGAACCTGCGACACTTTGGTTCGCAGCCTGCGCTCAATCCACTGAGCTACGCCAGCCAGGGCTATATTTTGGTTTTCTGATTCAGCCATTTCCAGGTTTACCTTTATAGGTTCAGTCTGCTTTCCTTAAAACTTCTGCTGGTTTTATAACTCCTGTGCTGGGACACTTCATTCACTAACTTCACCTTTGTGACTGACACAGTAGGCACGGAAGGCTGCATACACAGATGATTCCGGGCAAGGTGGGCTTTGCTTTTCCAAAACCCCCTCCAGAAAAAGAGATTTGGCGAGTGCCCAGGACTCAGGCCATGGTCAGCTGCTTGCCTGAGGGATTGGGATGAAAGTGGACACAGTCCTGCAGCCTGTACTATTCCTGAGAGCTCAGAGCCCCCAGCCATCACCCTAACACTTAGTTGATCCTGCCCTTGGGAGGCCCCCACCTCCTCCCACTTACAACATTCAGAAAACCAGATACCAACATACAGATTCAAGGCAGGAATCATCCTTCCCATCCAAGGTGAGCTTGAGCATTACAATTTTAAGGCACTCAAGGAAAAAAATGCCAATAGCTAACAAATGTAAAAGCAAGAGAATTCACTCCAGTGGATCTGCAAACGACTTTGAAGTAAATTTTTTTTTCCAGAGCAAACCCAGTAAGTAGTCTTTTAAAAGAACGGCCCTTCTTACTATTGATCAAGAACACATAGGCATGAAAGCACCACTTAGGAATTCTGGAAATACAGTTTGAAGAATTATGAAAACAATTGCTGCCCTGGCTGGGTAGCTCGGTTAGTGCAACATCCCTGCACGCCAAGGTTGTGGGTTCAGTCTCTGGCCAGGGCACATACAAGAAGCAAGAAATGAATGCATAAATAAGTGGAACAACAAATAGATGTTTCTCTTTCTCCATCTCTCTCCCCCCCCCAAAAAATTTAATTAAATAAAAAATATTGCTTTAAAGCTTAGTAAGTGGGAAATTCCAGGAAGGATGCAGTTTAAGAAAGAATTAGTAAATGTGAAGATTATATTAGAGAAATCAGCTTTGGATGCAGCAAGACAAACTATGAATATGAAAAATAAGAGTTTAAAAAAGGATGGGAGGATGAGAAACTTTAACATAAAATACTCGAGACGTTGATGACTGAGGGGTCTCCAGCACTGAAGAGACACGAGCACTCCGACTGGAAACACGGCAGTATGCGACAGTGTAGGTCTGTGGACAGACACATCGTGTTTCGTTGCCTGGGCAGAACCAGGAGAAACAAAATCGTACCAGAGAGCGGGAAGACAGATCCGCTCCAGAGGATCGAGCAGGACGGCGACACTCCCACCCACAGCAGCAGCAGCCTGAAGACCGAGGGGCACCTTCAAAGTCGGTTAAGGAACAAGCCGTCAGTCTGGCATTCTGTGTCCTGGTAACAGTCATTCAAGAGTGAGGGCAAAAGGAAGGTATTTTCAGATACACAAAGGGAGATAATTTAGTGCTAATAAACCTTTGTAAAAGAACTACCAAAATATTCTTAAGCAAAAGAGAATACAATGTAAGAAGCATGGTGAGCAAATAAATCAGAAAACAGAAATAGCTTAAGACTTGGGAAAGAAAAACAAACTACATTTTTTGTGTGAAAACTCAGACTCAAAGAGAAACAGGTAGTAATCGTCTCCAAATTCTAGGAGTGATGGAGGGAGCCTTGATTGGGAGGGGTGCTCAGAGTGGACAGTGCTCTGTATCTTGACTTGGAGGTGGCTTTATAGCTGTTTGCATTAAACCGTATACAGTAAGTCTTCCCTTAACATCAGTAGGTTCTTGGGAACTGCAACGTTAAAACTATGTATAACAAGACCAATTTTACCATAGGCTAATTGATATAAGTAAGAGTTAAGTTCCTATAGCATATTTCTGGTCACAGAAACATCACCAAACTTCTAAATAATGACCCAAACACTTCTAACGTTGAACATTGCAATAAATGTGAGCTAGACATACATTTAAGAAACATTAATAAAAATAGGTAACATAATTCTTCTCCAGCCTGCGTATTCCACTTCAGGGTGGCAGGTGGCCTGCGCCGTCTGCACCGGACGCCCTTCCAGTGCAGGGCGCGCACACACACTCACCACACTTGCTCAGACAGGGGCAGTGCAGACACGCCGGTCTGTCTTACCCACGTCTTTGGGACGGGGGAGGAGAGCAGAGGACCCAGAGAAAACCCACACAGACCTGGGGAGAACGTGCAGACTCCACACAGACAGAGGCTCTGGCTGGAATCAATTTTTTTTCTCAGCGTTATAACGAAAGGATGTCAAACGAAACATTATTCAAGGCCCTGCTGTATATGTTTACTTTTCTGAATGGTATGATTTTACATATGTGGAATACTAAGGACTAAATTATATAATATGATATAAAAAGCGTTGGGATTTAGAAAAGGAGATAAAGGGCTTTAATTATAAAAGTGTTAGAAGAAAAGACTTGGAACTTAACCTGAATAATCAATGGCCATTACATATATGAAAGCCACAGAAGTGGTTTTCTTCTAGGTGGGGAGAAGGGGAAAAAGACCAGGTGTAGTACAGGGTTAATATGTAAATGGGCCGTTTGTTTTGCTTTGCTTTATTTTTTAACAGGAAGGAAAGCTGATCTCCATGAGGAAGGGCATACATTTGAACAGTCATTAGTGACTATTCCCAATGCCTCCCTCAATTCTCTGAATTAGTCACCCCGGACTGGTCACTCTACCTCCAGCCCTGTGCAGAGAAACTCGTCTTTTTACTCCTCTGCACCTTTGTGAGTGGCCAGAATAACCTGCGCCCTCACTGTTGCCACTGTCAGGAGTCAGATTCGACCTGTTATACTGAGGGCTGTCCATGATGGTTTGTTAGGGCATTAAGGTGGGGAAAAATTGTACAGCAACATATGGTCCGAGTCCATTTTTGTAAAAATAAATGACAGAAGAAGCTCATTTGTGTACTCTGATGCATGTTTTTGCAACACCGGAGTCTCTCACTCAAACTGTTCCCTCAGTGGTAGCAGTGGCCAACAGACTGACCTTCTGAGCAACCATTCTGCACACTGTAATAGTCAGCAATCTTCTAAAAACATCAGTGGTGTAAAACACCCTCGCTGCCCTCCTTCTCTTCCTCCTGTGCTGAAACCCAAACTTCTTACCCTGATAAATTTTTTGTTAGCATAATGGAGAGAATATGCTAACAAAATAAATGTAAGCTAAATATTTGGGCTCAGACACTGCAAAGTTTACAGGTAGACTTGCTTCAGTCACGGCTGGATCCAGGTGCTCCCCAATGGTTCTGTCTCCCTTTTGTGGCTTCATTCCCAACTTTATATGTGACAGCAAAGGGGCCACTGGCAACTGGAAACAGTCATCACTCAGCAGATCCCCAGGAAAAGAAACTGTTGTTTAACCAAGAGCACAAACCAAAGCCCCATGGGTGCTTCTAATTGGCCTGGCTTGGGTCATGTGCCTGGAGGTGGTGGGGAGCAAGACATCAGCACTGGCTAGAATTGAGTCACATGCCCGTCTGTGGGGCATAACCTGCGTTACCTTGGCTTTCTACGGGGAGGGAAGTACAGCCCTATTGAGATATAATTTATATATCATGCAATTCACTCATTTAAAGTATACAGTTCAATGCTTTTTAATGTACTGAGTTATTCCGCCATCACCATGATCGATTTTAGAACATTTTCTTCACCCCCAAAAGAAGTTCCTACTCATTACTTGTCTCCACTCACTCCATCCCCACCCCAGGCAACCACTAATCTGTTTTGTCTCCATGTATTGATATTTGCCTGGTTTGGACATTTCATGTAAGTGGAATCATGGTATGCGGTCTTTTGGAAATGGCTTTTGTCCCTAGTGTAATGTTTTCGAGGTTCATCCATGTTGTAGTGTGTTACTTTGCCTTTTAGTAAGGCCCTTTATGAAATCTTAAAAATGATCTGCTGGCTCCTGACTACCTTTCTGTCCTCATATTAGCCTATTCTCTCCCTTGCCTGCTGGGTTCCACTGTACTCACAGAACTGCTGAGACCTTTTGTGCTGGGATAAGGGCCCGAAGGTGGTGAGGATCAGTGAAAAACCAGATTTGGTTAAGAAATAACAATGGGCAATGCATCGTTATTCAGTGTTTCACAATGAAGCCATCCTTTATTGTGAACAAGCGTTTTTTAGATTGCTTGCTTCCAATGCAATAAATGATGGCCAATTTTATCTTTGGTTAAGGTAGGCCCTGGATCTCCTGGGATTATCCTAGTTGTAAACCTTCTGCCCTATGCTTCCCTCAGTCACACTCTTAAGATGGCATGGCCCACTTTCTGGTTTGGAAGACATGTCATCACATGGTGGTTCTCTTCTCTACTCTTCAGGAGAGCGAAGAGGAACTCTACTCCTCCTGTCGCCAGCTGCGGAGGCGGCAAGAAGAGCTGAACAACCAGCTCTTTCTCTACGACACACACCAGAACTTGCGCAATGCCAACCGGGATGCCCTCATTAAAGAATTCAATGTCAACGAGAACCAGCTCCAGCTGTACCAGGAGAAGTGCAACCGGAGGTAGGTCAGCCCCTTCCCCACCTGCAGACCCTCAGGTCTTGTTCCTCTCAGCACAGCGACCTTGGGCACCTGGGGCCAGGCTTTGGGAAGGCACCACCATCTTTAGAAATCCCTTGACCAATATCCTTGACTTTAGCTCTCCTTGCTCAATAAATGAACTTTTAGTACTATCTTGAGTATCTGCACCTTCTCTAAGCCGAACTGTCATCACTAGAGGGACACTCAATATAATAGTGAACATGAATGATGGCCACTACCTTTTAAAGAGCCCCTATTGCCTTCCCAAAAAGGGGCTAGTCCAGTGGTCCTGAAGCAGGGCAGAATCTGCCCCCGCCCCACCATGGGGTGCTTTGGATTGTGCTGCAGACATGTAATGGGGGTAGCACAGCCAGGATGCCTGCTTTCCGGTAATGTGCCAGACAGTCCTGCTCCGCAAAGCACTGACCCCCCAAAATGCCCATGGCAGTCTCCAGTGGGAAACAGCGTGTAGGCTGCTTACCCATATTATTCTCACTGTATCTTTACTTCAGCCTAGCAAGTGGCAGTGACCAGTGAGGAAACAGAGAGGTAAACTATCTTGCCAAGAGGTCACCATCCAGCCACGAATGACCTGCAGACGTGTGGATGGGAACTGTTAGGGAGCACATGGCCTGTGTGTTGTTAGCCCAGTGGATGACGGTGAAATCTGTTTCATTTCAGGTTAAGAGAGAAGAGAGTCAGCAACAGCAAGTTTTACTCATAGAAGCCGGGGTATACGTGTAAGGGTGTTGTGTGTGTGCGTGTGTTTGCGTGTAGAAGAATGTGCTGCATTCAGACTCTGGGATCATGCGAATCTGTGATGTCATCCTCTGGTCAAGTCTACCGTCAAGATCACATTTCTGAAGGAGACCCGGTCGGCATGAGTTGGGGCGATTTCCTCCTAGTTTTTTCATCCTAGACTATTTCTTAACTTATAATTCTCTCTAGGGGATCCTAAAATCACGCTCCTCGTTTTCGGCCTCTTGTGTTCCAAACCTCATTGAATAAAAGCAGTGAAAACCTCGAACAGTTAGACCTTCTGCGCATGACCTGCACGGGGAGCAGGATTCCTTTTCTGGCTCTAAAAGCCCAGGTAGTTGACTTCCATGGACGATGAGCCCACAATGTAAGCAACTAATAAGTTAGATTCTGAAAAGGATTTTAACCGAAAGGCAAACGATTCTACGGGTAAGGCCATCGGCGTTCACTAGGGTGCAAAGAGGAGCCCTGCCCCTGGCCGCCACATCTGCCCAGCCTCCCTGCCCCAGGTCAGCGGGCTCAGCTCACTGCACCTTAACTACCACTGGCTGGCTGGCTAGACAGACCTGCTACAGTGCCTGAGTCCATGGAATCTGTTCGTTAAGACAATTTCTAGTTAATGGTAGAGACTTGCTTTGTGACTGGAGTTATTGGGAGTGAGAGGTGGAAATTTTGGAGTCATTTTGATTTAAAAAGCCTGTTAGAAACCAGAGACCCAGCCAGCTTCTTGCTCACACCTGCTCTGCCCATTCCTGAGCTGGCTGTGTGACCATGGGGGAGGGCCCTGGGTCTGCAGCTCCCAGAGACAAGAGGTCAATTTACTGATTAAATGAGGTGATGCAAGTTAGGCTCCAGTGGGGAATTCCTCTGAGTGACTCAGTTTTCTGTAGCAGCAAGCTGAGCCTTGGGGCTTCAGCATTAGAAAACTACAGAAAATCTCAGATGCAGCCACCTCAATGCAGCAAACCCACCTAGGACAAGAGAACACTCCTCTGTATCTTGAGATACAATATAATGATTTGTACAGTGTGATGATTTAACAAGGCTTTTTAAAGATGAGGACAATAATTGAAGGTGTGGTTAGTAGATTGGTAGCTTAGCATGAGTTGAGAACCGACTTAGAGGGAAAAGGTGTAACTGAAGAGAAGATTGTGGTGGGGAGGAGCAAACTAGCAGGCAGTGAGACTGGTGGTTTTAATTGGATGGAACGGGGTCCTAGCAACCCATTCAGCCCTCCCCTGGTTACCCTGGGCTCAGCGTTCACAGGACTGCTGGCGAGTACATGAAAACCAACTAGGCTCTCTCTGACCAAAAGACCTTATCCTTTCATTCCACAGAAATTTCTTGCGCACCACCTTATGCCAGGCACTATGCCAAGGTCATGGGGTACAATGTTAAACAAAAAAAATTTTGAAGGAAAATAAAAAGCCATGGTTACTGACCTTAGGGAACGTATCCATGTGCTTCTGAAAGAAATGCATTTTACCTTCTAAAAGCCAGGAGACTAGGTAATAGCAGTTTGACCGAGGTGGGGCCCTCATTTTGTAACATTGTTTTAGTTATTCCTTGAATTGGGGGTTGTTATTCTATTTGGCAGCCAGCAACTCAGGGAACACACTACTCCTGATGGTAGCAAGTGTTCTAAGCAATTTTCAGGAAAGGCTGGATGAAAAAGGCCTTGAGCTGCAGGCTGCAGGGAAGGAACGTACAGATTCTGGAAGCCAGTGGCCCATTAGACCCCCGGGGCCGGGTAGCCACCGGAGCCTGGTTACTGTACCTACACTGTACCACCCATCCCCTACTGGCTCCATTATGACTTCTACACAGTGGAGCTCAGATATTGCTGTCATTACCTGTTTTCAGCTCAGGAGTAAGGAAAAGACATGCACCTTCCCACTTCAATCCATTCTAAACCCAAAAAGTTTAGTAAGGCCTGGACCTCCTTCCTGCTTAAAGTAGATGTTTTGCTAAAGAAACTGAGAAGCGGTGGCATAGAAAAGAAAGCAGGAGTTAAGCATCTTTCACCTGCCACTGTGTAAAAATCCATACCCAGCCACAAGTGCAGAGGAAGAACAGGCAGGGGTTGGTGGTGGTTGGGGGGTGGTTATACTATGTAAATGGTGCTGGGAAGACCCTCTCCCTAAAACTGTCTCTTCCTCCTAGGTGCTCTAATAACGCAAATCCACCATTAGACAATATTTGCTCTGGCTGCCACATTCTCTTAATAGGGTAACACATGAATTTAATTCTTGGTGGTGGTAGGATTCTCTCAGGAAAGACACAGGAGGGGAAAGTGAAGGGTGCAGATGACATCATTGCTCTCAAGAGTCTTTCTGCATGCCACAAAACCTAAGTCCTACAAAGGATCTGTCTGAGATTATGGTTTAACAGTCAGGGGTTAAGCACAGCTCATTCAAATCAAGAGTCGGGACAGCAACATCTTGAAATATGGCTGCAGCATTGATGGACTGAAACCACAATTGTGTATGTGTTAAAATTTTTCTTCATCATCATTTTCCTTGGGTTATGATTGAAGCATCAGTAATTACATGGACAAATGAGAGGGGGGAGCTGGTTAGATCATTAGGATTTGGAAAATTTGGGTTATACAAAGTTAAATAATTGTTTTCCGTGAGAATTGGATATTCTAATGTGCATAGTTAAGAGTGGTGTAGAATATCACATTTCCCAAATTTGATCTCAGGACCCTTTTGCCAAGGAATCTCTCGTGGGGCTAATGTACAGTGGAATACATTTGGAGACTTGCTGCTCTATTAAGAAGGCAGCCAGGCAACATAGTCTAATAATGTACAGTTGAACCTTGACCAACAAGGGGTATTAGGGCCACTGTCCTCCCCCACAACCGTGCAATCAAAAATCCACATGTAGCTTTTTACTCTCCCAAAATTTAAATACTAATAGCCTGTTGTTGACCAGAAGTCTTACCAATAACATAGTTGATTAGCACATGCTTTGTATGTTATATATGCTGTATCCTTACAATAAAGTCAGCTAGAGAAAAGAAAATGGTAAGAAAATCAGAAGGAAGAGAAAATGCATTTACAGAATTGGGAAAAATCCCCATATAAGTGGACCTGTGCAGTTGAAACCTATGTTGTTCAACTGTATACGTCCTGTGACCTAGTTAAACAAAATCTAAACTTAAGCCACCAAGGTCACTGGTCTTTCAACTGGGCCAGCCTTACCCCTAGCAGTCTTCCAGAGCTTTCCAGGGAACACACAGACTCAAATAGTTTTAGGGGATCAATTTTCAGATCTTCACCTTCCTATTGTAAATTTTCTTAATCATGTGCCTGAGAAAGTGCCCTTTTCTCTCTCAAAAAAAAGAAACTATCTTTCTGCATCTTCGATCTTACTGTAGAGCATGACTCAAGGCGTGAAATTCAAACTATGGGTGTTTAGACAGTGAGAGATTCTTAACAGCAGGGTGCAAATCCTTTTGCAAGTCTGGTGGTTCCCAATTCTTTTGCTTTCAACAAACTTGAAGGAACACCCAAGATTTCTGAATATTTTAGCATGTAATTTCAAAGGCATTGGAAGAATTCATTTATCCTGCTATTACAAACTCCTTCTGTTCCCATCTACTTATCACTGTGAACAAGGATTATCAACACTTTCATACAGAAATTTTAAAAGAATAGAATTGATGTTGGACCATGACCATTCTAACAAAGATAATATTAATCTACAGATAGATGAAATAATTGGGCTGGGGGAAGCCTTCCTCATCTCATTGAGTAATACATTGCTAATTAAATTTTACTATGGTTAATAATTTATTAAAATTTGTACTATATTTGTTTATTGTTCAAGTTCAGTCCAGGAGAAAAAATGTAAATACACAGAGCCTTATAAGATCACATTTTGTTACGGATCTACAATTAAGCAATAAAAAGGCCAAAAATAATTAAGCTAAAATTTTGAGGGGGAAGTAAATTAAAAATACAAGTTCAAGGAGTAAAAGGAAAAGCATGGCACTTCCTACAATGAAAAATCACTTTCTCCACGTAGTTTCTGTAAGGGCGAGGGCATCTGTCCAATGAGCACTGGGTGCAGAGCCTCTCGGCTGAGCTCAAAACCGAACATAGTGGTTTTATTTAAAGAGGCGCTATCAACAATATGCTGGCACTTTTATCCTTTGCAACCATTTATGATGAAAATTTTTAAGCAAAAATTTAAAAATCTACTTCAGTGGTATCTGAGCATAAAGTTTTGATTGTCTCATCAAGGGCCACTGAATGATGAGTTCCGCTGGAAGCAAGAGTGGCTGAGAGGGGCTGCAGTGCTTTTAACTCTTACAAGGAATGTGACTTAAACTTTTGTCGTGTGTGACATTTAACTTTTTGGAGGCAACCCTAGAAGTCATATTCTAGCCAATAAAAAGTTAATAATTAGATTAAGAAATCTGCAGAATTACAAAATTGGCATTGGAAAAATACTCAATGATTTGTCTCAGGTTTTTAATTTTCAAAAAATTTTTATCTTGAAGAGCCAGATTTCTGTCTCTCAGAAATTTCCACACTTTATTTTTCATTAGGCTTTAAAAAGCTGCATTTGTAAACTTGTGCTTAATTATTAAAGCTTAATTTATTTTTTATATAAATAGTGTGTGCTTCTGTGTACATAGAGAATAATGTGTATAAGTCACACAAATGTTGGCTATCGTTAATGTGAAAATTTAAATGGCTGTATCACATTTTTAAAAATAAAAATTTGATCTAAATGAATGCAACAATCTGTCCAGAACTATTTTTTTTAAAGCTATCCATTCGTTGCTCCCACATAAAACAATAAAGAAATACTTTAGCCATGAGGTAGGTACAGTTATAATTCTTTTTTTAAATATGTTTTTCTATCCCGTCGGTTCCAACAAGAGGTGTAAGGGGTATCATCTGACTATAGCGAAACTGTAAGGCCTTCCACTACCTCCAGCTGAGTCTAGGGTACTCCTTCTTACTACTGAGTGGGTCTTGCTCAGTTTTTAGGTCTGTGGCATAGGTTTGCAGGGTCAATAGACAGCTGTTCTGAAGAAGCTGTCTTCGTGATGCTTTGAGCTGGGGGGTATTCATGATTGTCAGGCTGTCCTCATCCCTTCCATCATCTTCCCACCCAGCCTGGTCTCAAACTCTGAACTCCTCAGCAGGCATGCCTAGCACTGGAGTGTGGTGGTCAGTTCTTCTTTGGTCAACTGACAGGTTAAGCTACATAGGTTCCCTGTGGCCTGAAGGAATAGCCACGAAAAGAACTTTATTCTGAGTGGATATTCATTGATGCTTGAAAAAGAGGAAGATTTGGGTCTTTTGCTTTTCTTTTCTTATTAAATACCAAAAGAAAAAAGGAGCAAAGGGGTTGTGCTAGGAGGATCTCCAAGGTAAGGGGGCATATTTAAGGACTGGGAGCAGCAGATTTGGGAATCACTGCTAATTGCCAACAAGACTGATACACTTTTTTTAGTTATAAAAAAAATGTGTTTTTCTATCCTGTTACACTTTTCTGTAGGTTACAAGTCTATCTTACTTTCAGTGAAAACTCATGTAATGTAGAAACCCAAGTTTACAAAATTATTACATGATCAAAGTTTAATTCATCAGTGTAGAATGTGTGGTTCTAGGGGAGCAACAAGCGAAGTGATAGGCCGTGCTAGAGCTGTCAGTCACTGTGCTGTCTTGCCAGCGATCCCCCGATCCCCCATGCAAAGGAAGCTGTGCTAAGTTACTCTGACTGTCCTGCCCCCAGCCCTCTGCCCTCAGGGGATTAGTCACCTTGGTCCAGAAATTTAAAACAGCCTATGATAAAGCCCGGTATCAGATGATGAACAGCAAATGGTAAAAAGCAAAGAAGGAATTAGAACTGCTAAAAGACCATGTTTAAATGGGTAAAATCATAACTCACAAAAATATAAAAGAAACACATTGAAAAGTGTGTTTAACTCATTAATTAACGAAGGAACCAATAAAATGTTACAACCGATTCAAAGGTGAATTCAAAGAACAAGAGTATTTAGGCTCTCAACCGTCAACATTGTCTGATTCTGTGCCTTTTATTGTGTGAGTCATTCAAATGATTCTCGTCCACAGAAATACAGATTGTATCTAGTGGAGATTCAGTTGACCATTGCTCCAGGACACTGACCAGTATTGCCAGTTTTGTACCTACTAAGCACATATACTTCAGCATTCAGCATCACTGATGGACAGGAAACCAGATGCCTAACTTACGCCACACACAAAAATCAAGTCCAGGAGATTTTAGATCAAGATGTAAAAGAGCCCTGGCCAGTGTGGCTCAATGGTTGGAGGCACATACAAAAGGCAACTGATTGAAGTTTCTCTCTGCCCCTTACCCTCTCTCTGTGGGAGGCCGTTCTGTGTGGCGTGGGCCCAGCTCCCACTGGGAGATGCACAGGACCCACTCCCACAGATAGGTTTTCCCGTGGGGAATCAGGCCTGCAATGTACTTAGGCCGCTATGAGTCTTGCTTTTTGCTAAAACTCCCTCACCCTAAATTGAGGACATTTACTGCAAAGTAACTTCCTAAAAGCCATGCTACACCTTCCAAGGATGAGAGTAACCAGTCCAACTACTTTCGCCTTTTCATTTGCAAATATCCCTCTTCTGTGATTACCAGCATCCCCTCCTTTATTTTCTGTATTAGGTAACCACCTAAAGTGAGCCTGTGCATAGTTAATGAGGACCTTCTTGTTACATGCCAAGTAAGACAATAAAAGCTCATTGGCATGAGGGCCAAAGCTTTTGCTCCCCTTGAGAGAAAAGCCATGCTGTCCCTTTTCCTCCACAGGACTCAGTAGTCCATGTGAATGTTTCATATTTCATCCATAATGACGCAGACCCCATGAGCTGGGGTCCGTGTCATCTTTCTTAAAAAAATAAAAAAAAGTCAATAAGCATATTCTCAGGTGAGGGTAAAAAATATAAAAGATAAAATAACATTCCTAGAAGATATTCATAACCTTGGAGTAAGGAAAACTTGCTTAAACACAGGCAGACTGCTAAATTAGCTGCCACTGAAGTTCACAGCTAGTGTTTATCAAAAGATACAATTAGAAGAGTGAAAAAGCAAGCAAGCCAAAGGGTGGAGGAAGATATTGGCAATAATATATCTGACAAAGAACTTCAATCAAATATGATTGCATCCCTCCAAGTCAATAAAAACCATTAAAAAAATATAGGCATATCTCATGAATAAGCACCTCACAAGAGTATATCCAAATGGCTGTAAACTAATGAAAATATGCTCATTCATTTGAAAGAGGAAATGCAAATTAAAACTACAAGATACCACTACATACTTATTAGAGTGGTAAAAACTAAAAAGCCTAACAATACTACCAACTGTTGACCAGACTATAGAGCAACTGGCACTCACACTGGTTGTGTAAATTGGTACAAAACTACATTGTAAAGGTGTTTGACACTCTACTGAAGCTAACTGTAGGCATCCCTTATGACCCAGCGATTCCACTTCTACTTGCATACCTACTAGGAATGCATAATATACACAACACAACAAGATGTGCGGAAGCGTGCCCACAGTCCCGTTGTTCACAACAGGCAAAAATGAAGGGTCCTGCTGTCCATGTCCTGCGGAATGGGTAAATTGTGTGTTTTTACAATGGAGCATGTACAGCAATGACAAATGACTGAGCTGTACCAACTCATACAAACATGGACGGATCTCAGAAGCATAAGTTTGAGTGAAAGAAGCTAGACACACAAATGTATCAAAGGAAAAAAATGGAACAATATGAATTATCAGAAGGGCACAGGGAAACACAGGATATTTGCAAGATGGACTAGTTACAAGGAAGTGAAATGGTATGGAGTCCGGCACATACAGAGATCATGGACATGCTTAAATCGTTGGAGAAAAGTAAGATACAGAACAATGCGTACCCAGTGATACCTCTTAAACACATTTTAGAAAACTATATGCAAAGCAATATTTCTTGTGACAGACAGATGGGCAAAAGTATAAAAATGGACTAAAAGGAACGCTTGGTAAAGACTGAGTCAGTGGAGAAGGTTAGTAAAGGCAATGCGACTGAGGTAGGGGAAGGAAGTTTGAGCTCTGTTCTATGTCTAATTTCTTTTAAAAATGTTTATTGGGAGTGTCACTGTGCTTGGCACAAATGTAAGAGCAGGCCCGCTCTACCAAAAATGGATATAGGCACATTCAAGCTTTCTGTTTCCTAGGTGAAACCTAAACAGAAGAATAAAAAATAATGAAAAATAAATAAGGGAGAGGCAAAGGTAGGAGGCAGGGAATCAGAGAGACTGAGAGATTTAGACTAAAGACACAGTACACGGTATGAGTGCCTAGCAATTCTGGGTAGTGAGAAAATGCTGTTACATTTTTGTCTTTGCTTTCCTACTTTTTAAAATTTGTTTTCCAAAAAAAGGGGAGGAAGGAAAAATAAAGCTATAAAAAAGGATGGACCAGATAAATTCTAATAAATATAAAGCTGGTGTAGCATTGCTAATATCAGACAAAATACACTGCAAGGTAGGTACCACTAAGAGAGGCAATGTTTCACGTCAATAACAAGGACTTTGCATCCACAAAGTGTAACAGACACAAATGTTTATGCTCCTCACAGCAAAGTTTTTATAATCATATTGGGGAAAAAAATCAAGTTCACAATTACAGTTAGAGATCAAGAGGTGTCTCTCAGAAAACCATAGTTTAAGGAGGCAGAAATGTAAAAAAAGATAAGGTGGAGCCACCTTAAAACTGAGCGGGAGCTGCCATCTCAGAGGATGCCTCAAACCTTTGGAATGTTAACACAGGGCAAATAATCTTTGGGCTGGGACCCTATGCTACATCGTGTCCCAGAGAACTGTTTGCAAAGGTAAACAATTCTGATGGGTGCCTGACTGAAAATAAAAACTTTGTTTAGAATGAACATCACGTCAGCTTCTAGAAATGCCTTCCTTCTATTGATGTGGCTGTTCCCCTTGTTTCTCATAAATCCCTCTTGCCTTTGTCTCCTGATAGTAACACTCTTTGAGTTTCTGCCTGAGTCAGTACTTCCCAAATAATTACTTTTTTAAAAAAAAATCACGAACAAATGCTTGTTACCTCTCACTCTCACCTTTTACTTTTAGGTTAATGTACCATAAGGACATAGAGACTCTAATCTGCCACAAATTTGATCAAATGCACACATAAGGTTCTACTAACACACACTGGTTTTTGGTTTGGACACAGCACATGGACAAGTATCGACTATCCACCAAGCCACAGGGCTGGCGCTAGGGGAAGGACTATTTTAATTGCTCTCATATAAATCTAAATTCATTGCCACAAGGAAGTCACAGACAAAAAGACATCCCCCTGAAGTGCTTGCACTTGAAAACTGTAAAATCTATTTCTAAAATATTTTTTAGGTTAAAGAGACAGAATAAAACTTTTGCTCAGAAAAAACAAGAGTTTTAAGTGCATTTATTATAAAAAACAATAAAAGGTTAAAATAAATGATCTGTATTTTTAACTTAAAAGCGAGGAAAAAACCCTCAAGACTAAAAAAAGAAAATTTGTGTTATAAAAGGAATTCATGAAGCAGAGAACTAAAATCTAATATAATTTACAAAATGTTTTTTTTAAAAGGCTAATGAAATAAAGGGGAAAAAAAGCACAAAGGAACCATACCAGGAGTTTTAAAAAGTGAGTTTTTTTAACTATAGAGATTTAAAAAGAAAGGAAAAGACTAGC